CCGTAGTGGAGGACTCGGGCGTAGGTTAGTGGGGTTAGATGTTGCGTCTCCCTGTTAGACGCGTGAAGGGGACGATACCCTTCTAAGTGCTGTGTGTACCCGTTACTGTGCACAAGTTGGTGTTAATAAATAAGTGTGCCTCCGACTCCGTCGTCAAAGCCTCCTGAATACTTACTACACATGGAAGATTTTGAAACAAAAGCAATAGCTTCAAGCACACTAAAACCCGATGCTTGGTTTAGATATGTGGATGACACGTTGGTAGTATGGCCACATGGCACAAATACATTTAACACATTTCTAAATCATCTTGACTCGCAAAACCCATCCATCCAGTTCACCATGGAAGTGGAAGCTGACAGAACTCTATCATTTTTGGATATTCTGCTCGGGCGGGGTCGAAATGGTAAAATAACACACAACATTTACCGATAGAAAACGCATACTGATGCCTCTCTGAATGCAGAGTCACACCATCATCCCTCACAGAAATCTGCTCTTATCAAGATGCTCATTCGTCGGGATGAGAAAGTGTCAGATGTGACAGTCTGAGAAGTGAAATTCAACAGGTTAAAGAAGCGCTGCAAATGAACGGTCACAATGATGCACAAATCAAAAGGGTATTGAATTCCAAAACCAAATCAAATAACGCGAGCATTGAAACTGCCCAAGTAATCAAAATACCGTACATTGCAGGAGTAACTGATAAACTAGCCAGATGTTTGGAAAAAATAAATATCCGAGTCAGATTTGGCATGGTACATAAAATACAGAAGTTAATATCTAAACAAAAAATAAATTACCGAAGCTATCAACAGAAGGTGTGTACAGGATTAACTGCACGTGTGGCAAATGTTATGTTGGGCAAACAGGACAAATAATCAGCACGAGACTAAAAAAACATCAGCTAAATATTAAATTATCCCAAATGCAACTGTCAGCAGTAGCAGAACACAAGTGTGGTCACCACATCTACGCCTCTATATAAGGAACGAGACAGTGGGACTTCTCCACAAATCTGGCTGTCGCTTGATGAAGCTATTTATAATTACTGGCGAAACGTCGTACTCAGATTGTAAATGTTGTGGCTTGGCTCTCCAACACACCGGTGTACTGTACAAGTGACGAATTGGCATGTTTTGTTGACAAGACAACCCTTACTAGTTGGCTGTGTCGGGTGGTGGCGGGTTTTAACGACACATTTATATATTACACGATCTAACCCAAAAAAAACTATTATGGATGATATTGGTCGGGAAAGCCTACCTACGTGTTTAACTCAAAATCCAATATTTTCAATGCGTTTGAATTTAGTTCAATGCTACGCCTTTATCACGAGGGGCGACACAGCACCGCTCTGATGACATTTGACGTGAGATGTATTTATTGTGATTTTTGTTTTTAAATCTATTTTGTTCTTGCACATGGCATTATATTCAGGAGCGAGCGAAGGCAAGGAGGCTTGAATTCCAAATAAACTTTTGAACAACAAATTGCAGCCTACGAACTTGTGTTGAAGTTTCAATGATTTATTTATTTTGAATAATTCTGGCACATTCTCACATGAATTAAGACTAAACTCTTTTATTTACCTGGTAAGGCCCACTGAGCAATGTAGCCCTTTTCAGAAGCGAACTTGCCACAAATGATAGCTCAACGAAATGCCTTATCATCATGTGGGTAATTATAGCAGCCAACGCATGTTGATTCGAAATGTAGAGAGAAAATTCAGATGACTCGGAGAAAATCTACGTGACTACGGAGAAAACATGACAACGCTAAATATACAGGCGTCAGAGTAGGGATTAAACCCACGACCTCCTGCATACCATGTGAGGGAGATAACATCTCGCCACAATGGTGCCCCTTGAAATATGACCATTCATTAAACATGACCAGCGTCATCACTTAATATATTGTCAAATTTGTATTTTTGTTGGTGGAAACTCTCCTGCCTTAGACAGTGTGGTTATCCGGAGATGTTTCTAGGACAGTCGTGGTCAGTATGTGGATCGCTAAACAAAATAGGAATCCTTGACAAAATCAGAAAGGTATTGTGGTTCATTTGTGGCAAGCACTTTCTCTGTAATGAGTGCGACCTTATAATTCATGTGATCGGCAACCGGAAGGCAATGCAGCTCGGCGAGCACTGGACGAACATGGTCGACTCTTGCAGTAAACTTCCAAAATACATAAGTATACAAATTCCTTTACATTTAGTGATTTAGTGCGATTTTTGTGCGCTTCGCTTTTGTTTATTTATTTCCTTTACAACTCAACACAACATAATGTAACCTACACTCGGGTGTTGAACGCCCATCTAACCACGCTACGGCAGAACTAGACACGGTCCCGCTATCCCGGTCGGGACCAAGAGCTGGGTTCCGGACCACGTGGCTAGAGGCTTCTTTAACCCGACGTGGATCTTCTTCACCAACAACCCGAAGAACCCCTCGCCCCTCACGGGGCCCCCGCTATATCGGCCCGGGCTGGGGCTGGCTCTGCCCCTCGCCCCGCCCACCTTCTAGATCTCTCGAGCTCCTTCCCGAAGGCTCCCGAGAGCTCATCTATACTACGTGACCCCCCAGCGGCCCCCGTCCACCGGTGGCCCCCCTCCAATATCATCCAGTCACGTGTCGGCAGGTCAACCAGCGTATCATGCCCCAACGTAACCCTGGCTGGCTGACACTCTCTCTCGCTCCCTCACCGGGAGCCTGCACCGTACACTGTACATGGTGCCTCTGTGCTAATCAGTGCTCACCCAAGCCCCGCTAGGGCTGGTACTACGCCCAGTAACCGGACTGCACATAATGACAACATTATCCGCCGTGGCCTCGCAAGCCCGGCACCACACAGTGACATTCACATTATTAATTACGCTAACGGTCTAGAGCATTTAGTTTTATAGGGGCACTCCATCTTCGCAAAATGTAGCCACTACAGCTTCATAGTACCTCTTTGCAATATTACGTTACTGATCGAATTTTATTAGAATAAAACGTAAAACGTATATGAAAATATTTTAATGAAAGTAAATTTATACCGAGTTTTAAATAAACTTACTAAAAGCGAAACCATTTTTATTTTACCAGGTAAGGGCCACTGAGCTATATCGCTCTTTTTTCAGAAGCGACCTGGCCACAAATGATGGCTCGCCGAAGTGGCTGGGCATGTGGAAATTTATAGCAGCCAAATACCCTAAAAACGCATGTTTCTAAATGTGAAAGGGAAAAAAAAACAGTGCGCGTGAAAAAAAATCCACGTGACCATGGGGAGAATATGCAGACTCAAAATATCCAGGTGTCAGGGTAGGGATAAAACCCACGAATTCCCGGTATACCAGGCGAGTAGTTAACATCTCAACACCGCCGCGTCCTGAGCTTTTGTTCTTTAATACTGTTGTTGAGAACAGATCTCATGGTGGTTGTCAAGGGAGCCCCAACTCGTGGCTTTAGCCAGAGTGAGGCCAAGGCACCCCCTGCTCCCACGCTCGTTACCCTCCTGGGTTTAGCCATTTACACTGCACGCGTTGGAGGACAGCAACGCGTCGAAAGCTTCAAGTGCCACGCGGGGAGATCAAAGTGACAACCTCTGGAAGAATGTTCATAACGGGCGTAGTATATTTGGCGATCTTGATGATGTTGCAGTGTTCTTCTTGCTTACGGCTATGTAGATGCAGAGCAACAACTACAATTTCACATCCAGGTGGTAGAGCCGCAGCTGCGTTGACAGTGGTGCACAAGTGTAATAAAAGACTCCGTCAGGCGATGCTGGTCTCCGTTTGTCTTTTATTCAGGTTCTTCTCCGCACTCCCACTGGCCTCCTCTCGGACCAGTGTCGTCTCGCGCGCGCCCCGCGCACGCTCCCTCTCTCGTGCCGCGCACGCTCTCTCTCGCGTGCCCCGTACGCTCCTCCATTAGCTCCTCTATTCCCGCACTCCGCACACCGCTGGCCGACGGCGTGCAGAGGTCCTTCGGCCACGTGCCCGATGGCGCGGATCTTTCCTCACCACCCAATGTGGCTCAGCCTCCTTAACTTCCCTGACTGCCCCGATCTCTTCTGGGATCCCACTTATATACATTCCCCCCACGTGACCCTGACTCCTCTCCTTCCGGATCGTCAGATCCGGCCTTCCCATACTACCCCGCTGGCTCCACCCCCATTCACCTCGCCTCCCATTGCAGCCAAGGTGAACGATGGCCCCTCCCACACGCCCCGCAGACTAGGCTCTGCCCCCCAATACCCCGGGCCGTGTGATTGGACCAGAGCCCAGCAAGAACCCCGTTTACGCTCGCATTACACAAGGACAGCAAACAAACAACCCCAACACATACGTCACTAACGACAACGCTGCGGTATTTAAGAATTAAATAAATATCAGGGCACGTTTAGGGCAGCATTTCCCAAATTATTTTTGGCCCGCGAACCACTCAACCGATTCAAATAATGTCTGTGGAGCACACAGCCCCGACTCCTGTTGACAAAACGCATTAACTTCTCTCTAACTACCAGTCATACTAAATTATTAATATTAGTGGCACATAAAAAAAATACACAACGATAAGGTTTTTTAGGGGGATTATTTAGATCTTAAGGTTAGTGTAGTTTAATCAGGGCAGTTTACCTGACCTTATTAATAATTAATGTCCGAAACTAAAAGGAATAAGCATTGACATTATTTCCGGATCAATCTGCATTTGCATCACAATCCGTGGGCCACCTTGAAGACTGTCAAGAACCAGTGATGGTCCGGGAACCACACTTTGAGAGCCACTGGTTTAGGGCAATGACCTTTTTCTTCACAGTACATGGAGAGACAAACTATATATAGCCGACGTGACCCGTATTTATACAATAATAATCGTTCTGTTTAAGGTCACTCGTGGTCTTATTCGGGGGTTTGGTGATCTCCAACGCCCACAGCGGTTGATTGGTTCTTCATGCAACATCCAAGCAGCGTTGCCCCGCCCTTACCATTCTTCACTCAGCGCTGTGGCTATCTCTACGCCACACCGCGTGCGCTCCTGCTTGGTGGTGACACCTCGGCAGGAGAGCAGCATGGCACCAGCCTCAGCTAATCACCACGGAGCCTCGTAAGTTGTTGGGGTTTTTAGTTGCGAAGCCGCTCTATGCCGACTTGATTCTGTCTGTTTGTTTGTAAGTTTATTTGTTTGTCTGTCTTGTTGTCTGTCTGTTTGCCGGTTTATCTGTTTGTCTTTTTGTTCGTACGTTTGTCTGTTTATGGAAAAATTCTGTAATCTCAAAACAACGTATGTATGTTTAACTTCTTTCGCACCGTACGTAGCCAACCGTGCTAATCGGAGGTACGGGTGGGAGAACAACAAACTAAACGCAAAAAACTGTTCTAAAGAAATTAGTTTTCAATTTAGTACAGTGGTGTAGTATATAGTGGTGTAGCCTATAGTGTAGTATATAGTGTAGTGTACAGTGTGTGGTGTACAGTGTACTGTATAGTAGTATTATGTTAAAATAATTTTGCACCGCCCGCACGATGCTCATCAGAGGTGCGGAGGAAGGGCAACAAACGAAACAAAAAGCCTCGTTCAAAAGAAATGAGTTTTTTATCTAAATTATTAAAAAGTACAGCTCCAGTGGCTTCCTAATATCGGAAGAAAGAGCGTTCCAGACGGCAACAGAAGCGCATCTGCGCCGTGCGATGCAGTGAGGTTTGCATGTAACTCCCACCTCTTTCGAGACGTTCAGTCGGCCTGCGTTGAAGAGGAACCCACAAATTCACTCCAGAAGGGGGCTCCGTATATACCCCTCGAATGGAAGAGAGCCTTCTGTCAGCAGTAGTGGCGTAGTGAGCAAGCAGACAATTGCAGGGCTGCACCTTTTACCTTTGCAACAAGCGTACGGCAAGTCTTTGTTTGAAGCGCTAGTCGTAGTAGTAGTAGATGCGTTTCTGAAATGTGGCGCGTGGAAAATGCGTTAAGCAAAAAATGTGTGAAGTGAAGACAATTTCCCCATGTTCCATCTATAAATAAATATCTTAATATGTACGTCTCAAAGGCATCTAGGGTACTTCCCGACAATGTAGAAAGCAAAAATTTGGTACATAGGTAGCTTTTAGGACACAAATAACAGGAAACAAATAAAAACAAATCCGCGATTTTTCATTTTAAGGCCACAAAATCTCAATTTTAAATGCCCCATAAAAAGGTTTTGTGCGTGTCATTCAGAAAGCGTTCAAATGATAAGATTTCAGGTTTTTTTCATTTTATAATACATTCAACAGCAAATTTAATTAGAGAACCATTGCGCTATATTTTATTGTTTCTGAGATATTTCGGATTAAAGCGGGTTTTAAAGAAAAAAGACGCAATTTATGATGCTCAAATCTGAAGAATTCGAAAATGGTAAAAGTTGGGCGCTTCCCCTCATAGAGTATTTTTGTTATTTCTAATAGAAAAGGAACGGAATCTTTAAATTGAGTGGTTTCCGATAGGTACGTCTAGAAATATAAGAAGTTGAATCTAGTCATAAAAATGTTGCGAAAAAAAATAATTTTGGAGTAGTTGTTAGTGTCTGCTTGTAGATATAAAGTGTTAAAAATCACATTAGGTTCATTATTATAATTATTGAAAACCTTTGCCTGGCGAAGACAGGCTTCATGAACTAGTAATACATAATGTAGTAATGATAAAGTCTGGCGAGATACAATGCACTGCTAAGCGTGCCACGTAGTGAGATGGTGGGACAAATAACTGCGCTACTATACCACTGTACTGCTCAGCTAAGCAGCTGAAGAAAGTAGTTCGTCGTCGACCACGTTATAATGGCACGCAACTTCCACATTTTTGGTGGTGCATGTTCCGCATTGTGTGCAAAGTGTTCCCGAATGGAAGAACCGCGCTATAGCGAAAACGCGTTATCGTGTGAACGCCACGTGTTAAGCGAGGACTTGCCATATTGTGATGTTGTCCTAATGTGTGGTGCGTGTGTGCTGGCTGTACCACGCCCCTTGTTCACGCGCCCTTGCAGGTCCTTGCAATAATGTGCTCGGTTAACAAAACTTCCCCCAACAGTATATGCAGGCTACACCGTATATGTATATGTGTGTATCTGTGCATGTATCTCAATGTATATCGTATTTATATCTGTGTGTGCATCACAGTATGGATCTCAGTATGTATCTGTGTGTGTGAGACAGCTGACACATGCAGTAGACACGGTGTTCACAGTACGCATAGCACACAAGCAGTACACACACTACACACAGAAAACACAAAACACACACGCTGTTCACACAGTACATGCACAGTACACAAAGTGCGCGAGCAGTACATACTTTGTACACAATACACGGTACTGTACATGCTGTACACACACACACCAAATACAGTACACACGCTGTACACACAGCACACACTGTACAAACAGTCCGCACAGAGCACACACTGTACACAGTACACAGAGTACAAACACCATACAAACACCGTACACACACAGCACACACTGTACACAGTACCTGGAACAAACACCGTACATACACTGTACACACAGTACGCACACTGTACACACAGTGCAAATGCTGTCCAATGTCTGACCACATAGCGGCATGTAGAGCGAATTAAAACTGCAGTCGAGCGAATTTTTGTTAGAAAGAGGTGAACTCCATACACAGTACGCAAAGTCGCACAAACCAAACCTGCATCGAGCGAGGGAAACTTTTTTTTAAATACTACACAATCAATGGCTGGTAGTATCTGACCCTTTCCTGTCCCTTCATTTCGGAGCAGTATGTAAGCATCGTCGAGTACTCGAATTATGACAGCGGTTAGGAGGGGTGTTGATCACACGATCCTCAGCCATAATATGTGATCAATTTCGGTAATTACCCAACGGTGGTCTTCTTTCGTATGGATTCATGGCAACAGATTAAAGATGTAATTTTAGATTTGTTATCCACTGAATTATCCGTTCAGAAAGAGTGCAGGCCGCTGAAACTTTGATGCGCCATTTGTGCATCAGGTGGGCGCATCGGCCATGCCCGGTCCTGATTCGGTTGATAGTCGACCATTAGCGGCGTGGAAGGTTGAAAAAGGGAGGGTCGATGGTAGGGTCCTGTATGAGATGTTTATTTTTGACGGTGGCCACAGTCCAAACTTGCTTCCATCTCTCACCTTCATTTTTATTTGTGGCGTGGAGTGAGGCTGCTGTGATCCAGAAGGAGGTGGCGTGATTTTAGGCGAACAGGCGCCACTGGATTTATGTCCCGATGTATCGGAAGGTGCAGGTTAATGATAATGTTTTGGTACTCCCTGACGGCCGCTGCTTCATGACAGATTTGCGGCGGAGCGATGTGGGTGAGCACTGGGAGCCACTGGGTCAGTGTCGACTTCAGTGTACCTGAGATGGCACGCATTGCAATGTTCAATTGTGTGTCGATACGTCCCCACCCAGTTGAGCAATACTCTCCCGTCAAATACATGAGGGCGAGAATGGTAGCCCGTAGTATTTGTGCATCACAGCCCCAACCAGTTCCCTCCAGTTAATGGATAATGTGCGTGCGGGTTTTTATCTTATTGCTCGACTGCTCAATGTGTTGCCTGAGAGTGAGACTTTGTTCGAGCACCACTTCAAGGTATTTCTGGAGTGGGTCGTGGGTGACGGTTTTACCACGAAACTCAACCGTTAGCGTTATTTTTGCCTCCGCATTGTTGAAATAGAATGCTGAGAACACTGTCTTGGTTGCATGTGGCTTACGTCGCCAGGATAAGTAATAATCTACCAATTTCTTTAGGTCGGTGTTGAAGATGTCTTGAGCTGCACTGAGTGTCGTCGCTTGGCTGGCCAGTGCTAGATCGTCTGCATAATTGAACTTGCTGCTTAATGTGGCCGGAAAGTTGCTGGTGTACAGATTAAACAGGGTTGGTGCTAATACCGACCCCTGCGGTAGGCCATTCTGGAGAGTGCGTGGGTGGCTGATCTGGTTTCGGAGATGGACGCGAAATTGTCGGCTGCCTAGCATACTGGCGATGAGGCAAACCGTTTTTTCACACTTGATGGTGTTGGTGATTTTTAATAGAGGTCCTCGGTGACAGACCGTATCATATGCAGAGGACAAGTCTATGAAAGCAGCAACTGTTTTCTGTTCATGCTGAAAGCCGGCTTCGATGTGTGATGTCAAGGTGAGGATCTGGTCACAACAGCTTCGTTGTGGAAAAAAACCTGCCTGTTTAGATGGTATGGTGGTTTCCAAGACAGGAGATAGTTGAGCAACAGTACTCGTTCCAGTAGCTTGTAGGCTGTACAAAGAACACAGATTACCCTGTAGCTGTGCGGGTCCATCGCAAGTTTTCCTGGTTTGAGGAGAGCAATGACTTTTCCTTTTCTCCAAAGTCTTGGTAGCTTGCTGGTGGCAATGATTTTTTTTTATTTAACAGCCAAGTTCTTCCTTTGCTGTCAAGGTGTTTTAGGAATTCCGGGTAAATCCCATTTATTCCTGCGGCTTTACCTGTCTTTGTTACCGTCAGTGCGGCATCTATTTCTCCTGGAAGTACAGCTGTAGACAGAGGAGAGTTTGATGCTGGTGGAGAGTGTATCTTTTGCGGAGTTTTACTCTGCATTCTTGTTTTCGGCTTCCAATTGTTTGTACATTGCCGAGAAGCTGCGCCGCTATCCCATTAGCAGAGTCTGGTGTTCTGAGGGTGCTGCTCCACCGAGCTTCTGACCCAACGGTGGTATGATTATGTTCCTCGCTTCGTACGCAGGAGGTCCTATTTTTCGATCCCGACCATGACGCCTATATATTTGAAGTTTGCATGCTCTCCACACTTAGAATCAACATGTGTTTAGATTATTTAGCTGCTCTAATTTTACATGTGATAAGCCACTTCGTCGAGCTATCATTTATGTTAGCCAAGTCACTTCTGATAAAGAAGCTAATAGCTCAGTAGGCTTTACATGCTGATGTAGTGACTGTGAATGTCACTGTGTGGTGCCGGGCTTACGAAGCCACGGCGGATAATATGTTGGCATTATGGGTAGCCCGCTTACTGGGCGTAGTACCAGCCCTAGCGGGGCTTGGGTGAGCGCTGGTCAGCGCGGAGGCACCATGTACAGTGTGCGGTGTGGGCTCCCGGTGAGGGAGCGAGAGGGAGTGTCAGCCAGCCAGGGTTATGTGGGGGCGTGATACGTTGGTTAACCTGCTGACACGTGACCGGATGATATTGGAGGGGGGGGGGGGGGCACCGGTGGCCGGGGGCCGCTGGGTGGTCACGTGGTATAAAAGAGCTCTCGAGAGCCTTCGGGAAAGAGCTCGAGAGATCTAGAAGGTGGGAGGGGCGAGGGGCGGAGCCAGCCCCAGCCCAGGCAGATTTAACGGGGGCCCCGTGGGGGGCTCGCGGTTCTTCATGTTGCTGGTGATGAAGATCCTCTAGCCATGTGGTCCGGGACCCATCTTGTGGTCCGGGGCGAGATAGAGAACCGTGTCTAGTTCTGCCGTAGCGTAGCTAGATGGGCATTCAACACCCAAGTGTAGGTTGTGTAATGTTAAGTTGAGTTGGTAAAATAATAGTGTTGCTCCCAAGACAACGTCTACGACTCAATTGGACTCACTACACTAAGATGAAAAAAAATTGTTTCTTTTATTTGTATATATATTTAAGTGATTTGTTTACTATTCCTATACTTTGCACTCCTATCGTATTTTTGTATTGTGTGTCGTTGTAACGTACTAACTTGCCCCTACTGGACGTAACTTTATAGCTCTTCAGATTCCTCCAGTATAAATAAATATTCTCATAAAAAATAAATATTCTGATTCAACAGTCTACAAGGTTACATTTTTCGATTTTATCTTACCGGATGAAGCCTACTGAGATATATATCTATTTTTAGAGGCGACCTGGCCACAAATGATAACTCAACCAAGTAGCTTATTATCACGTGGAAATTTATAGCAGCTAAATAATGTAAATGCATGAAAAAAATCAGGCTTCATGTTTTCACTTTTCTTGAGTTCTGATTGTGGGCTTGCTTGTTGGAAGGGATGCAATGAGTCCCAGCGAGATGCTGGGGCTCATTACATCCCACATAGGATCGCTCCGCCAAACAAATAGTTCCGCCGGTTCGGTTTATAAGAACGAGCGAACGTTCACAAGTCAAATGGTGAAAAATAATAACATCTTATGGTGGTCTGTTCGTAAGTGCAGATGTTTGTAAGTCGGGCGTTCGTATCTCGGAACTGCATTATATTCCGTGGTGGTGTAATGGTTGGCACACTTTACATTCAATCCAGAGGTCGCAGGTTCGATCTCCCGGTATGGCAGTTAACATAATGGGTTTTATTTTAATCCCCACCCACCCTATCCAACCAGTACCATACTATACATGAATACACCACAGTTGGCCGATCGGTGGTTTGGAGTTTCAACCAAATACCCACTGCCAGCAGTGGCGTGAGCAAGAAATTGCCGGGCTACGCCATCACCTTGTAATACTCGTCTCGTTTAACACACACTACTCGACTCTGTCTCAGGTTCCGCTGAATTAAATTCTGCTGGGTTCGAGTTGCTGGGAGAAGAACGCCATGGCTAGCGCGGTGCGTCAAGACGCGGACTGTCCCATTTGCATGGACAAATTCAACTGCCCTGCCACCCTACACTGCGGCCAATCTCTCTGTCTCCAATGCCTGATAGACGAATCGGGAAAGGTAGAGAAATTCACCTGCCCGCGGTGCCGTGCCGTATTTTCATCACGATCTCTGCCCAAGGGTAGACTTGCCGTCGACATCGTGGAGCAGCTCATATCACAACACGGGATGGGTAAACTGTGCGAATTGTGCCACGAAAAAAAGGCAGCCGGGGGGACGTTCTGCCTGCGATGCGAGATGTTCATCTGCGAGTCGCATGTCGAGAGCCACATGAAGAATGAAAGGTTTACAGCTCATGTGCTCGTGGCGCCTGGTACGCTTCGCGATGGCCAAGCTGGTGTCAATCAGGTCAGTGGTGGCTTGTGCATATAGCTGAACCACAATACCTTGCTGATTTCGTCAAGGAGCATAAACCATCATGCGCACTGCGACCATCCTCGCAGTGGAGGAGATGGCTTCCGCATCACATACTTTTAGATGCACTTCTGTGGCCATCTGGAACGCTCTTCTGATCTTAGGAAGCCACTGGAGCTCTGCACTAGACAGCTTCACCAGCCTGTGAAGCTGTCTAGAGCTCGATATAGTGAAGGCCCTTCTGCCAGCAGTGGCGAGAGCAAAGAAATGAAGGGTTGCACGAATGGCTCTGCTTAATAACTAGAAATATCTGACGAATATTTTTACTTTGGGACATTCATAAATCAGGGGATTTATTTTTAACATAGACCTATGGAAGGTTGTACCTGGATGGTTACAATCCAAAGTTGGCATACAATTTTTACTTTTGACAACCAGGTTTGACAATTTTTGCCTTCCCCTCTATAACATGGGACATGGAGTGTGACAGTTTAGATTTGGAGGTTTTAGAGGATCCTCAATCAACATATAGCATCAAATAAATAAACAATCCAAATACTTTTTCTTTTGCCTTCTCCAAAATTGTGAGAGCAAGAATGTTGAACACGATGAAAGTTGCTTTCTAAGGTAAAGTTTTTAAAAGGTTCTGAATCATAATTTCTCAATAGATGTAAAATTAGAAAACGAGCATTTGCTTTATAATTATGGCCTATAAATTTTTTACGTGGGTTATATGTTCCATTGTGCGATTTTTTTACTAAGTCAATGGAAACATGCATCTAAACAAATATAACATCACATTTGAAAGTTTGAGTTGTTGGTACTTTTGTCATAATGATGCTAAAACTGTTAGAAACTTGGGTGGCTTCGGCTACAAAATCTAGTTTACTTAACAAACACCCATGATATGGAAGTGTGCATGTCAATAATCTAATGTATGTGTTTGATGTTTTCCCATGCACTTTTCAATTGTATCCGCAGAATGTCAGCGAAGGTGCATATCACAACAAGTCAGGTACAGAAAACTCAGTAATAGTGCATAAAGATTTTCACTTAGTGTACGGAAAGTCACTGCCATTGATAACACCATCCGATTACGTGAAAGTCATTGCAATCGTTGAGAAACCTAATGTTCAAATGAGTCAAACGTCGGCCATTGTGAACATGCTTCTTCCATATATCATGCAAGTCGTAAAGATGTGGGGAGTCAGTATTCTGCATGCTGCAATTATCAGTGAGCTAGCCCAAGAAGATATGGAAACATGCCACAGTAGCCAGTTCTGCAAAAGTCCTACTTTTGCAAAAACATCGAGCAAGGCAGCTGCTTCTTCCCTTGCAGCACAGACACGGGCGTTGAATGAAGTTCCATTGTCTAGACTTGTCTGGTTGCTCTACTCAGTTCTGCTGATTGCACTGTAGTACAAGATCTCATTCAGATCCTGAGCAAATTCCCAGTAGCGTTGCCACTGGTGATGCCCAACCTGGAGAAGAAAGGCGAATACAAAGTGATGCTCCCCCTGATCACTGGCAACACCGTAAAGTGGGAGGTTCAATCAGGTGTCATAATTGAGAACGACATCTTCACCAATCCTTTCATACTGATTGTAGCTGTTCGTCTTGGCAATAGCACGTGCGGGAAAAGCACGATCCTCAACCAGCTCATGGCCGTGGAGAACATGTTCTCATCGTGTGGAGAACCTGGAGCTCGACGTGGACGCCCTTTGACGCTGAACGGAACTGTCGAGTTCACGTGGCTCACTGAGGAGACCTGCGGGGCTGGGCTGTGGAAGTCCGTCCTGCAGCAGTTTTATGCACGTGGAGGGAACGAGGTTGTGCTGTTGGCCAATCTTCACGGAGATGCCTCTGAATACCCTGAAGTTATCCAGTTCTTCAAGAATGTAGCATCAACCTACGTGGTGTTTATGATGCCAGAAAAGGGGGAACTTCTCAAAGAGAAATGGAATACATTTGTCCAACTCTCTGGTTCACAAGAGAACATCCATTATCTAATGGTGGATCCTGATGAAGACTGCAATGAAGCAGAAGAGATTGTTATTCAAACGACGAGGCTCACAAATGATGACACGTTGAAAAAAGTACGAGCTATGTTTAAAAGGGCCTTAAACTCCGCTGCAACCAAAATTAAACGTTCACTTAAGCCAGATATGTCCAATTTTGGCAACACACTACAATTAACAGAGGGGATAAGCTGCTATCAATCACAACGTGTGATAGATTTCATCACTGAGAACACTTGCCAAGGGACAAGAAATATCATGCAATTTCAGATGAAGATATCAGGAGAACGAAATGCTCACGATTTATGGAATGGCAACAGAGTTCTGCAAACGCTGATACACTTTTATTGTGAAGTTATGAGGCTCCCTCTATCAGAACGACTAAAAGCGATGGCTCATCTCGAGCAAAGTATTGCACAGCTCTCGAATTCTGAGTCCTCAAAACTGAGACAAACCGTCATAGCAGAGAGAGAAGAGCTTCAACGTCAAACACTCTTGAATGGCCAAAACAAGTTGACGATTAATGAAATGAAAGAAAACATCAATACAAACATGAAGATGTTGGATCGAATGTCTCTTGGTCCAGAGCATTTTTTTCGTGAGTTGGGTCACATATACGAATTGACAAACGAGGGCCAAAGAGAGAGTGGAGCTCTTTTGGAATGTCCTACTTCATACGCCGAGCTGCTAATGAGTGGCCACGCCATTGAGCTGCTAAACGGCGACACTGGAGAAATGCCGGGTGCTTGGCTGACGGCGATTTGCAACCACGTCACAAAAGCATTCCCAAATTTGCGCATATTTGTTCTTTCAATACTAGGATTGCAGTCTTCTGGAAAGTCCACACTCCTGAATGCCCTCTTTGCCTGCAAGTTCGCAGTGTCCGTTGGTCGCTGCACTCGCGGTCTCTTTATGCGGCTGCTGTTCCTGGAGGAGAAACTCAGTGAAAAACTGAACGCTGATGCAATCCTGCTCATTGACACGGAGGGGCTTGGAGCGCCAGAAAAAATGAATGATGATGATGCAGAACAAAAGGACCGAATGCTGGCAACATTTGCAATGAGCGTGAGCAACCTGACTATCATAAATATCCTCGGGGAGTACATGAGGGATCTGACTGAGATCCTACAAATTGCAATTGTGGCGATGGCACGGCTGGAAAAGGCTAAAATGTCTCCAGACATTCTCATGGTTCAGCATCTGACAGAGAGAAACACATCAAAGACCTCTTCTGGACAGGAACAATTCTGCAAAGCTCTGGAAAACGCACTGGAGCTCACCAAAGAAAAAGACGTTGACATGGGAATATTAGATGTGAGTTGCTTGACAAACTTAGCTGACAGAATCCAGAAAGGAGAGCTTCTGAAACAGTTCCGTCCCTTTAAGAATGGGGCAAGTGCCGGTGCCCCACCGTCAGATCAGTACCACAATGACGTGGTGGATCTTTATGAAACCGTTCTAAACGCATGTCAAAAGTCAGAAAATAAGATGCCGTTCTCGGATTGGCATTCACTTATACAGAGCTATTGGAGTTGCGTCTCAAATGAAAATGTTATTGTTCGATTTAAAAACATCAAGGAAATTTACGAGTTTATAGATCGTGGACAGCGAATTGCCAGCTTAAAGGAAACAATAGATGGAGCATTTTCTGTACACGTGGAAGCTATGAAACATCAAATACGATGTGAAGTGACACTTTGGACACCAGAAGAGCAACGTGAAAAGCATAGATTGCTTTTAAACAACTTTGAGAATGAATTTAAAACAATGCCAATGAATTGTGAAAATGACGCTTATAATAATTTGGGATGCGACAGATGTACAGAAGTCATAAAACAGACCATCAGTTTATATGAGTATGCTACAGAAAAACAGTGTGAACATGAAACGATGAATACAATTGATGCATACACCAAGCATGTCCGCCAGTCTGCACTTACGACTCTAACACAAATACTAGATGCCACAATTGTGCGGCATGGCTGCTCCGTGGAGTTTTTGGAGGAGATTACACGCAGCCTGAAAGCTGCATTAAGTCAAAGGCCAGCTGGTCAATTCACTGTGCCTGAACGCGAACAACGAGTTGAAGAAATATGGGCATCTCTTGTAGAAATCGCAAAGTCAAAGGAAAGTGATATCCATGATTGTGATAAAATAAAAATTGAAATGGCTGACGTGTATAGCACTGCACCAAATGTCTTGAGTCGATATTATGATGAACCGCCGATATGTTATTTGGGCCAAAGAGAGGCGTTTGAAATGTCACGTTTTAGAAGATTTTGGGCAAAGCGAACAATAATGAATGACAATGAGCTCTCCTGGCTCGAAAATGAGCTTGATAAAATCCCCATGTCAATTCTTCGTGCCAGACAAGCAGACCACTTTGAACATGGCATGATTCGTCGACTGAAATTTAACATAGAAGATATTCTAAACCTATTTCAAAAGGTTTTTTATAAGAAACTTCTCACCGAGCTCAAATGGGATGCTCACGTCTACACTCTTCAGAAATTTGGCCACCTCATGTCCATGTGCCAGGAGGAATGGGAAAAAAAGCACAATCCGACTTCAATATTGAAACAAAGAGAGGAGGAATTCCGATCACTCATAGATCTTCGCCTACAGCACGGCTTCTCGTCTGCTTCTGAAGGACGTATAATTTCCAAATATCTTCTAGAAGCAATAAAACAGAAATCAATTAAAGCTGGGAGTACCGAGAAAGTTCAAGCTGTGCTCGACCTCCAGTGGACAACCAATAGTGAGAAGGTGCGGCTTCAGTACTTTGAGCATTTAGCTTCCCAGGTGAATAACGGTGAAAAAGCAGAGGCACTTCAACATTTTAGTTGTCCAAAGCAAGCAATAAACAGGTGGTTTACTCAGACAATTAATCATCATGCTCGTAGTAAGGAGACGACACAATGCAAGGAAACATTTAAAAGTGAGTTCCAGCGCGTTCTTCAGAAAGTCGTAAGTTGTACAGATGTTAGTGAAATTATCCCTTTCACCCAACTTTACTTGACAGATGTAGAGAATGTAGAATACAAAAGTTATTTTGACAACCAAGAAATAGCCAAGGGGGACTTGAAAGTCTTAAAAGACAGCATCCTACATAGGCTTAATGAATCAGAGTCAACAGTGGACTGCACACAGTTGATGTTCACAGATCCATCGATGGATGAGACAGTGATGCGACGTCTAGGTTGCACGGAGAAGTGCTTTTGGTGTGGAGCTCTCTGCTGGGGATCTCGTGGACACGATAACAACGTGGACGAAACAAGAAAACATCATACCTGTCACCAACCAGGTGGCCTTGGTTATACAAATTATAAAAACACTGCTAATTTAGTAGCAGAGCCTTGCCATCTAACGTCAGATGATACAACAGTCACTTGGGGAAATAATGAAATGAAGTGGTCTGCTGCGAAGCAAACAGAGTTCAGTCATTGGAAATTCGATGCCCATTGCAATAATAAATTTGATGAGCTCATGCGTTGGTTCTTTCAAGAATTGCACAAAGATATTGCTGAGTCTAGAGCGTTGCTCCCAGCATTACAAGACGAGTTGAAGATGTACAAATGTCAAAACCTTCATCTTGCACCCATACTATCGACCATTCGAGAGTTGATCAAATAGTACACGGGGCCTTAAAATGGGGATGGTGAACCAAACGAAAACATGCATTACATCCTCATTGGATGATTACGACATTGTCCAATCATCATCTTAAGAATTGTGGATGAAGGCCTCCCAAAGTCATCATCTGACAAGATCAATCTTTTTTATTTTCATCTCCAACCCAATTTTTTTCACCTTCATAGAAATTTTAATTTTCAATCCCTTTTTCGCTGCCCCATGCTACCACTGAACCGTTGCCGGACCTCACTTCCACATCCCGGCTCCTCCATGCTGACGAATCCTGTCTATACCCTGGTGTTCGTGTAACGCTGTTCTTTTCCCTTCCACATTGTTGAGAATTTGAGTGTGACGATGGCACTTTGAGTGACAGATTCGTGCCAGAACGGTGCCACGTGTGTTTTTGCGCCAAATTTATTGAGGTACATTTCACCGATCGCGCCCACCTGTGGCTCGACTATTCATGGTAGACCACTCAGATTCCTATTCGCATCGTTACTGCACTGCTCGCGATGATGCTGCTGCCGCAGAAGAACACACGCGCCATCTTGTCTCCATCTCATCTTCCAAGCGGCCCATCGTGGGTCCCAGGCCATGCGGTGATCCCAGCCTCCAGTGAGGAGGCAGCGAAATTCAGGCACCTGCGATTTGTCTCCCTGTAGTGTACACAACTGTACACGGATACTATATGTACAATACCACGTGTAGAATACTGTACAATAATGTACACGTAGTATCAGTGTACAGTACTGTAAAGGGTGGTCCCGATGTCTTGTGAGCCCCAATTAATTGACCCCTAACATGTTCCCTTTGCATATTCATTTCCGTTTAAAAGAAATCTTACTTTAAAATAATATTAGGTTTTAGAGAATGAAATGGGGGTTACAAGACATCTGGACTACCCTGTACAGTATTGTATATGGGTACGTATACAGTATTGTACACTATATAATTTTTTTCTATATATTTACCGTACAAGTTACATTTAACAGTGACAAATATTAATCATATTTTACATTCAAAATACTTCCTATTTTCAAGAACATAACCCCCCCAATGGGCAAGGGTTTGCTGTGCATCAGGGGCATAGAATGTGCGTACTTACAGAGGATGGTATAAATGTTATTACAAGAAAGTGTCATCAGCACTAAGTAATAAACATTGCATGTAAATAATGTCCAGGATTGTGATTGTGGTGCACGCACGGGTAATGGAGGACAAGTTACCCAGGTACCAGGGGCTTGGCGACGAAGGAAAATAATGACATTATTATCTATGTGGTGGTTATATTGTTTGGTAGCAAATCGAAGGATAATAAAAATATAAACTGAAATTATTTAGGGGAAGGGGTGTAGATTTTGCAACTTTCACTATATCAAATAGAAGGCAGAAATATAACAGGTGCAGTGGCTGATTATAAATGACTATTAGGTATTTTAAAAAACGCTAGATATTAGATGTTTTTAGTCATAAACCATTATTTCAGTTAAAGGCCATCATTTTTCCTGTTTTTTTCTTCCTTTTTTATAATCAATGTAAAACAGACCATATTTTATTCCTGTTATTTTTGTGTGTGGCCTTAAACGCAATACTTGCATGATGAATTATGACAATTCCAAATCACATTAACATGTCCTTGAAATCAAGGCTTTTTTAGGGAAAGAGGTGTTGATTGTGCCACTTTTACGACATCACAGAATGCCGCAAGATGACATTTGGGTGTGGTGCATGGTAAAGATATAAATGGCTATTACGTCTTTTAAAAATATTAGATTTTCGATTTTTTTATATCAAAAACGATAACCATGTATTACAGTTAAAGGCTTTATATACCCCTTTTGATCATTAATGTCATAATAAGAAGACATGTTAATCCTGATATTTTTGTAAATGGCTCTAAACACAATATGTGCATGTTGAATGTACTGTTATGACAATTCCAAATTCAATAAATATTTCCTTGAAATTAAGGCGTTTGCTATGAAGCCTCTGTAATTCCACAAGTGCTACGCCGCAGTGAACGAGCTGGCCTTAATACACGTGAACCCTGGCTCATAAACGCAGTCGATCTTTGGAACTGTATACGTTAAATGAGCGTGGCCTTCACAACTTGGTGGAGATGGATCAATCACAGGGTAAAGCTGTAACATCCACAAATAGAACAGTCAATAAATTTAACTCCCTCGTTAAATGCACAGCAACGGTGTAACTACACCAAACAATGGTAGATGCCTAAGCAGACCCTAGCCACACTTAACTCCTGTGGCACGTATAGAGTGGGTGAATGAGTGGGTGAGTGGGTCTCTTTGAGTTTAATTTATTGAACGGATGTATGTTGAAATTATTTTGCATCGTAAGTAGCCGACTATGCTAACTGGGGATGCGGATGCAGGACAACAAACTAAACACAAAACAATTCTAAAAAAATTAGTTTCCAATATAGATAATTTAAAAGTGCAAAACTGCAGTGGCGCCCAAATATCGGGGGGGAAGAGCGTTTTAGACGGCCACAGAAGCGCATCTGAAAGCGCGCGATGCATTGTCCGTCTCTGTTGGAATACGAGCCAAAAGCAACTGCTGTGAGGATGAGCGGAGTTTGCGTGATGGTGTGAAGATGGCTGGGGGTTGGGTGCCTTGTTGTGGGATTGTAGGGGTGAGCCGCTCTGTACAACCGAGGATGATTGATTGGGCAGTATGGTGACTCCCCAGGGAGTGAATTAATTGGGGAACAGCTGGATCTAATCAAGGAATAATTGATTAAGGAAGAGATCTCCCGCCTGGAAAGGGCGCTGAGCCCGTAATCCAGAACCTTCTTGGGAGATGGGTGAGCTGGTGCCCTGGGCTCGGCTGGGTAGCTCTTCCCTATATTTTAAGCTGCTTTAAGGATACATTTAACATTATTTTAAATAAATAAATGCTTGATAGATGCGAAATTTGCTGTGGCCGCTCCAGTGACCTCGAGTCTCAACACCTCATACTTGACCAACACCACTCCGGTCGTCGTTGCATTGCAAGTGCTGATGTTTTGGCAGGGTGGGCCAGATGTATTGTGACCCCTATTACATTTTCTGAAATGTAATATGTTTAAAGGAAGGTTTATTTAAAACATAAATTAATATGCAAAGGACAATAATGTGAGGCTCAATTGTTTGGGGGTCAAAATACATCTGGACTACCCTGTAAAAGCCACACCATGGGTTAGACCCGCAATCTTTACAGGGACTGATCCGTGTTAATACACCAACGAGATTCCCGAGGTCTACGGGTTGCCTCCTAAGGATACCGAGGTCAAGGCTCTCTTCCCGGGGTAATCGGGCCTTTTGGTGGGTGGATGAGTGAGATGAGCGAGCGATGTGAGCGGGGGAGTGGGTGAGTGAGTGAGTAAGTGGATGGGTGAGTGAGTGAGTGAGGGAGTTGGTGAGTGGGTGGATGAGTGAGTGGGAGGGTGAATGAGTGGGTGGTTGAGTTAGTGAGTGGGTGGGTGGTTGAGTGAGTGAGTGGGTGATTGAGTGAGTGGGTGAGTGAGTGGGTGAGTGAGTGGATGAGTGGGTGAGTGAGTGAGTGGATGAGTGAGTGAGTGAGTGGGTGGGTGGGTGGTTGAGTGAGTGAGTGGGTGGTTGTGTTAGTGAGTGGGTGGGTGGTTGCGTGAGTGAGTGAGTGGATGGGTGGATGAGTGAGTGGTTGAGTGAGTGGGTGAGTGAGTGAGTGGGTGGGTGAGTGGGTGGTTGTGTTAGTGAGTGGGTGGGTGGTTGTGTGAGTGAGTGAGTGGATGGGGGGATGAGTGAGTGGGTGAGTGAGTGAGTGGGTGAATGAGTGAATGGGTGAGTGAGTGAGTGGGTGACTGGGTGAGTGAGTGGGTGGGTGGGTGAATGAGTGGGTGGGTGAGTGAGATGAGTGGGTGGGTGGGCGAGTGGGTGGGTGAGTGAGATGAGTGAGTGGGTGAGTGAGATGACTGGGTGGGTGAGTTAGTGAGTAAGTGGGTGGGTGGGTAAGTGAGTTGGTGGGGGGGTGAGTGAGTGAGTGGGTGTGTGAGTGAGTGAGTGGGTGAGTGGGTGGGTGGGTGAGAGAGTGAGTGGGTGGGTGGGTGGGTAGGTGAGTGAGTGAGTGAGTGGGTGCGTGCGTGCGTGCGTGAGTGGGTGGGTGGGTGAGTGAGTAAGTGGGTGGGTGAGTGAGTGAGTGGGTGAGTGAGTGAGTGAGTGGGTGGGTGAATTAGTGAGTGGGTGAGTAGGCGAGTGAGTGAGTGGGTAGGTGGGTTAGTGAGTGACTGAGTGGGTGGGTGGGTGGGTGGATGGGTGAGTGAGTGAGTGGGTGAGTGTGTGAGTGAGTGGGTGAGTGAGTGGGTGGGTTAGTGAGTGAGTTGGTGGGGGTGGGTGAGTTAGTGAGTGAGTGAGTGAGTGAGTGGGTGGGTGGGTGGGTGAGTGAGTGGGTGAGTGAGTGGGTTAGTGAGTGAGTTGGTGGGGGTGGCTGAGTTAGTGAGTGAGTGAGTGGGTGGGTGAGTGAGTGAGTGGGTTGGTTAGTGAGTGACTGAGTGGGTGAGTGAGTGGGTGGGTGAGTGGGTGGGTGGGGGGTGCGTGGGTTAGTGGGTGAGTTGGTGGGGGGGGTGAGTGAGTGGGTGGGTAGATGAGTAGGTGGGTGGGTGAGTGGGTATGTCAATAAGTGGGATGCTGGATGAGTGGGTGGGTGCATTGTTTGGGTGGACGAGAAGGTGGATGGATGAGTGGGTGGGTGAGTGATTGCGTGCGTGAGTGAGTGGGTGGGTGAGTGGATGAGTGTTACGGCTGTTGCTTTAATGTGCAGTTCCCAGACTATGGAATAACGCTTTGCCGTTGCTAATCAGAGTCAGTTTTGTTTTGAAAATTCCCCTCTCTAAACTGGCATTTACCTCGCCTTTAACCCCGAGCACTTGCCGTTTACCCTGGCTATGAGTGGTTGAGTGAGTGAGTGCGTGGAGGAATGAGTGGATGGGTAAGTGGATGGGTGAGTATGTGGGGTGATTGGGGTGAGTAAAAAAGTGGAGTGAGTTAGTCGTGTGATTGAGGTGACTGAGAGGGGTGAGTGGGGTGAGTCGGAGCGGTGAGTAGGGGGTGGGGAGTTCAGTAGGTAGGGTGAGTGGGTGGTTTTAGCGGGTGGGGTGAGTAGGTGTGGTGAGTGGGTGAGGTGAGGTGAGTGAGTGGGATGAGTGGAGTGAGTGGGTGGGGTGATTGAGTGAGGTGAATGGGTGGGGTGAGTGGGTGGGGTGAGTGAGTGAGGGGAATGGGTGGGGTGAGTGGGTGGGGTGAGTGGGTGGGGTGAATGGGTGAGCGAGTAGTTGAGTGGATGGCTGAGTGCGCAAACCACACTTTACTCCCTGCCCAGTCCTGCCGTATACACTGCAGGTTCTGGCTATTTACAGATTTCCAAACACGGGCTACATGGTGGGATCGACGAATGAAATTCGCCACTTTATAAATGTTAATCAATGTAATTGTTGCCATATATATATATTTAAAGCGTCTTTTACAGCAGGAAAATAATATTTTATAAATGACAGAAGAAAATATTTGACATTCATGTTGTGAGTTTCATTTTGACACACGTGACGAAACTTCTGCTTTTAAACACAAACAACACTGTACCCTTTATATATTTTTTAAAATGTTAGTTTTATTTTCATATCCTTCCAAAAGGAGTCACCAAACTTGCCTAGGAGGTGGACCATTCAGCAATGGCTATTGTTGGTGCCTTTTGTTTTGGTGCCAAATTTCCATTTGTAAAAAAATATATATATTTAATTTGCATGGTAGTGGCTGCGTAGAGGATTTGTCCGAATATTTAATCAATATACAGCGTTGGGGGATGCAATGAGCATGAATGACGCTATATCCAACTAGTGTACATTATTATTATTATTTGAATTCTATATTGTTTCTTGTAGAATCAATTATATAAGCGTCATGTCATTTGCGTACGTTTACATTTCTTATTTTAAAAATAAATTGTATTATTGTATCTTTCCCCCACGCCGACGCTGTGAGAGGCGGAGTGAAGAGGAGGAGAAAGCCTTGCCTAACACTGCCTCGTAGCGGCACTCACTGGCGTCACACGGACGCTGGGAGCGGCTGAAGAAGGCAGGATGGGCAGGAGGGGGTCTTGACGGTCAAGATGTTGAAGAACAACTGTTTGAACAGGCCCCGGGCTCCTATTTTTATCCCCCTGACTTCAAAAACCCGTTATGCCGATAGGAAATGCGTGTATTGCGGCTAATGAAGGGATCATGGAAATTGTGGGGCAGGTGGGAGCTTGTGTAAAGATTGGGGAAATATAAATTTTGGGACCGGTTTTGATTACTAAAGCACTAGCAGTACCGTGTCTCTTGGGTGCTGTATTTTTTTAGTAAGATGCCCCTCAAGATTCTGACAGACTTAGGATGTGTCGAAATGCCATCAGGACAGCGATAATTCTTTCTGAACTCCCCGGGTAAAAATAAGGTTGCAAACGTTTCAGCTCTGGCCTTGGTAAAGGAATCAATAGAGATTCCACCAGGCATGCAAATGTTGGTCCCTCTACGATACCGCAATCGGCTTAAATTGGCTGACCCTGAGGCAGGAGTTCTCATCACTCCGTCCAACACAACAACCCGTGGGCTAACACTGGTGGGTGTGCACACGATTTTACGGATGAGCCAGGAGCTGTTTTTACAGGTCCTAAATGTAGGACTGAGACTGGCGGTGGTCCAAGCGGGTATGGTACTGGCTCACACGACGGCTGCGTGTTGCGAGGCTGCTGAATTCACTGGGGTGGACATGATAGGCACAGAGGAAGAGAGAGTTGAGTCGTATGAAAAATGGGCAGAAGAATTGTGCGGGGAAACCAAAATTTATCTGAGGCACAACGGAACAAATTGCGATCATTGCTATCACAATTTTTATAGATTTTTAGCAAGAGCAAATTCAATATTGGTCGTACTTCGCTGCTGCAGCATCACATTGATACGGGTAATGCTGCTCCTATTCGACAGAACTCATATTGGTAGAGTCTTGTCGAAAAGGAAAATGTACAGCTGGCGGTAGAAGATATGTTGGCAGCTTATATAATCTCACCATCAACAAGCCCTTGGGGAAGCCCTGGTATTGGTAAAAAGCCGGACAAAAGTCCAAGATTTTGCATAGATTTCCGAGAATTGAACAACGTCTCAGTGGCAGATGCATATCCGCTTCCGCAGATGGACGATTCCCTGGATGCATTGTCGGGCGTGTGTTTTTTTCCTACATTGGATTTACTGTCAGGGTTTTGGC